CTTAGGGAATAACTCCCAGCTCTGCCTCCTGAGCATCCTCCTCTGGCCAAGAGCATCCACAGCCCCAGATGTGAACCCACAGCTCAGATCTCTCCTGCTCTAAATATGTACCAGGAGGAAATTCCAGCCCTGGCCCCTCTTGGCAAAGCTCTCAGCTCTGCTCTAGTGGTTTGAGCCGCAGGACCTCTGACTTCCAGCTGCAAAAATCTTGTAGTTACACAAGAGGAAGCAGCACAGCTCATGTGCATGGGAACTATCCCATGTCCTAAAGCTCTGCTGAGCCTGGAAGCCATCTGTGTGACCCTTCCCGGGGTCAGAGGGGAGACATTCCGTCTTTCCTGTGTCATTCCGAATAAAAAGCCAAAACCTGGCTGCTGCTCACAGCCCTGGCAGGCGCTGGGTCTGTGTGTGGGACACTCTGAGCTGTTTTCCTTAAATGTGATTTAGCAACGCCCCAGCGCGTCTAGCCGGGAGCCGCTGGATCCTGGGGATGTGTCAGGGCCTTCAAGGAAAGGGAATAAAAAATGAGCATAGCTCAAGGGCTGAAACCTTGGAAGTCTGCAGGATTCAGCAGCTGTGAGGGGAAATGGTGACGATCTCACTGTCTGGAGGGAATTTAAAGCATGGACATGGATCCAAGCTGTGGAAGCACTGCCCGGACACTGCGAGATGTGGAATTTATTGCAATTTATTGTCATTCATGACCTGTATTTGCTGGTTGCTGAACAGTGTCAGTCACCAGCAACCAGAGAAGGTTCCAATGAACTGATTTAACTTTTAGTAATTTGTTCAAACTGACTCCACACAGATGAAGTCAAATCCTCTCCATTCAAAGTCCATGGAGCAGTGCTCAGGTCACCCCACATCCAAGGAATCACAGTGTCCCAGGAGCTCTGAGCAGGTGGGTTTGGTGTGTCCAGCTCCGGGTGTGACAAAGCACTCCCAAAGACCCTCTTTCTCTCAGAACAGAATAGAAATTACTTCTAATATTTAATTACTGGAGCTTGATATCTCCTCACTGCCCCTCTCCTTCCCACCAACCCAGACATGCGCTGGGGCTGTGCATATAAACCATAAATAAGGAGATTTCCCAGGAGAGGTTCTGTCTCTGCTGCCTGGGGTGGATCTTTGGGGGAGCACCTGGCTGGCTGGGCAGTTCCACCTGGGAAGCTCACTGTGGGGTTGCTGTGTTGGACCAGTGCCAAAGCCACGGAGCAGAAACCTTTCATCCCGATATTCCCCAGGGTGGCTGAAAGGCTCTGTGAAAGGCCCTGTGAAGGGCTCTGTGAAAGGCTCTGTGAAAGGCCCTGTGAAAAGCTCTGTGCTCACACACTAGGTAGGACACGATGTGGCCACAGCTGGGGGCAGTGGGGCCATGCCGAGTGCCGCAGATGACAAAGCTCCCTGCCCATGCCAGAGGGTGCAAGGGCCTTCTCTGGGCCCCCCAAACCTTCTCCTGACCCATCCTCTGGAGCTGGCACTGCTCCAAGGGGCAGGAGTCCCGAGCTGGCACTGTCCTCCCCCAGGAAAAGGCCCGAGCTGTGAACAGAGACGGGAGCTGTCACAGGAATGAAGAAATGAGTTCCTACAGGAATGGAGGAGGGACAGCAGCACCAGGAGGAGGGCAGGCTGTGGCCCTGGCTGTTTCCTGAGCTCCCGCTGCTCTCCACCAGGAAAAGCAGTCCCAGCCTTCCCCCTGCCCTGGCAGGCTGAGGCTGTTTTGCTGTGTCCGGAGGGGCTGGAGCTGTCCAAGTTCTCGCTGGGACAGAGCTCCCTCGGCTCCCACCCGCGGAACACCAGAGTGATTCAGATTTCCCGGAGATGTTCTTATCTCGTCCTGCCCTCTGCCCTTCCCCAGCGTGCTGGGCTTTCCTGTGGATCCCACACACTCTGGAGCTGGGACAGCCCAGGGTGGTCTGGGCTGTCAGGGCAGGTCTGTGCCCCCAGCTCAGCTTCTCCTGCAAGGAAAGGCCACCTGGAGCGGGGCATGGCTGAGCAATCCTGCTCAAGAATCCTGGGAAACCCCTTCCAGAGTGCTCAGTCCAGCCCTGAGGGTCTCTTAACCAGGCAGAGGAGGAGGAATGTGTGTCATGCTGGATGCAAAGGGATTTTTTGGGATTGTGGTGAAACCTCTTGGATGAGATCCAAGGGAAGGAATGACTCAGAGGTGGCTCCACAGGCATTTCCCTGTGTATCCCTCATAGAACGAGCACCTCTGGGTGTAAACAATAAATCCTGGAAATTGTTCCGCTCCCCCTGCACACCCCAAAGGCATCTGGAAAAGAGTCCAGTCCCGGGGAGGAGAATGGTGCAGGCCATGCAGAGTGTCCAGCTCTGCAGGAACAGGGATTTGGTGGAAGTGACACAGAGTTTGGCCAGATTCATGTTACGCCAGGAGTGGCCTTGACTCCCTGTCCTGCCAGAGCCCAGTCTGGAGCTGTGCTGGCTCAGGGTGTCCTCGTGCTGCTTTTTCCGGAGCAAGGCTCTTCCCAGGGCAGGGGGCTCCCAGAGGAAGGGATTATTCATTTCCAGGAATGTTTGCAACAGAGGGAGCTCCTGGAATCCTTCTCAGTGCTGGTTGTGTTTCCTCAGCACTGGACTGCTCTGTCCATCAGGGCTGTGGAACCCTCTGGCACCAGCTCGGTGCTGGTGGGCAGCTCCAAGCTGGGCAGGGACTGTTCCAGCCAAGGGTGTTTCCATGAGTGCAGGTAACTCATCCCCAATGGAAACCTCTTCCCTGAGCTCCCTCGAGCCCTCACAGTGGGACAAGCACAGGACCTGTGCCCAGCCTGTCACCAAGTAACCATAAACCAAAAAAACCTCTTTTTGCTTGTTCTGAACCTGCATTCCCTGCTCTCGTTAGCACGGCCTTGGGGGCCTTTGGGACCTTGGGAGCTGCTCCCTTCAGCCCCACCCCGCTGCCCTCATCCCTCTGGGATGGGCCTCCAGCATCCCCATGAGCAGGAAACCTGAAGTTTTTCAAGTGGATTAACCCCAGCCTGAGCTCTGATCCCTTTTCCTCCCCTCTCCCATTCTCGCTGAGCTGGGGAAGCTGGGTGCACACTGCAGCCCTCATTCCCAGCAGCCCTGGTGCTCCAGCGCAGGGTGGGGACACGCTGGGGCTGGGACCAGGAGTGAGCTCAGCGCTGAAACTCCTGGCCCGGCAGGACTCGGCCCTGGGTGTGCTCCAAAAGCTGCTTTATTGACGGTGCTCTGTGCTTGTCACCGCCAAGGGCTCAGCACAGGAGCCCCCCGGCTCCCTGAAAGAGGGGTGGAGGGGTCAGACCATGCCCAGGAGCTGCTGGAGATGGCGATGGGGATGGTGACAACTCGTGTGACCCCCCAGCTCTGCCCACCCCTGAGAGGGGCTGCCCTGGCCGCAGATCAGCCTTTCTCCCTGGGTTGTTTTGGGTGGAGTTCCTCCGCTTACTTGGATTTGTTGGTTTCTCCCGCTGTCTTTTTGGGAGCATCCTCCCATGTTGTCCCACCTCAGCCCATTCCGCCTCCCTCCCTCTGCCTCTGCCGCGGGCGTCCCCCTCCTGCTCTCTGACTGCGCTGCTCAGGATTGCTATGATGAAAATGTGCCCCAAAACAGGATAAATATGCGCTGCCCCTCCTCTGGGGACATGGAGGGGTTAACCCCTGAGGGAGGGAGGGAGGCAGCGCCGGGGCTTTGGGCACTGCCAGCCCCGGCCCCTGGGCTCGGAGGGCGGTGGGCAGCGCCTGGGTGGTCCCGGGCATCCCCCGAGGCTCTCGTGGCACGAGAGGCTCCATTACACACTCCCCAAACTCGCTGCTTCCTGCCAGAGACGTTACTCAATCCAGACACAGCGAGCTTCCAAATCGCACCCCGTGTGCAGCCGGGGCAGGAATTGCGGCCCACCTGCTACAGGCGAAATCCAGCTCCGTGTTTAGCTGGAAAAGCTCTGTTCCGTGCCTGCAGGGAGAAGCGGTCCCCTGCTGTCCCTGCACAGGGACCAGCAGGGCAGGCACAGCAGCCCCGGGCAGAGCACACTCAGCCCTGCACTGCAGCAGGGAAGGGCGATCAGGGACAGGGTGAAATCCCTGGAATTCCCTGGTGACCGGGCTCCTCCCACAGACTCCGCTTCTCCTGCCATGTGTCGTAAGGAGCGAACTGGAAGCACTGGGAGGGATCACAAGCTCCAGTTTGTTGTAGAAAGCAAACTGGAAGCTCTGGGAGGGATCACAAACTCCCCAAGGATTTGTGCAGAAAGCCTCCATGAGGTCACCCCATTCCTGCTCTTGCAGAACCTTTAACCTCTGGATCTTCTGCGTAGGGCGGAATGTGCCCTGGATCCATCTCCTGCTCCAGCAGCTCCTGGGGCTGGGATGGAGATTTTTAAAATACATGGAGATAAAAGCAGACTCTTCAGAGGGCTCTGTGAGGTGATGCACAAACAGCACTGACCCATGGCGATGCCCCGTGGCTGTGCTACTGCTGCTCTGCACCCTCTGCAGGGACACCACCTCTGCCCTGGGCATGGGGCTCAGAGACAAGCTAACAGCAGCACCTGAACTGTTATCGCATGGTTAAGAGCAGGAGCCAGGTTTTATAGGACCCAGGACATGGGACCTGCACTGCCACAGTGGGGGTTCCTGTAGGATTTGTGTCAGCTGCCCAGGAAAGGCACATCCTTGTGGAGAGGTAACCAGGGGGCAGAGAAACACTTGGAGAGACAGACGAGGCTGTACAAGGGCCATGCACAGGACAACAGGAACAACTGGAGACATCCAGGCTGATTTTAGGCTGGTTTCCTAAGGAAACGAGCTCTGGAGCACTGAGTGCCCCTGCCCTGGGAGCCCTCAAAGCACCTGGCTGACCCAGCTGGAGGAGGAATCCCCCAAGACCTCGGAAAGCGCTTTTAGGGTTGGGGGGTGGCTGCGGTCGGGCTCAGCTGGTGGCACTGCTTGAGGAGGCGGCTTTGGGGGATAAAAGCGACTGGGGAGGGGGCGGGGTCTCCCCTCTTCCCTTACTGGGCTAGGGGTGCTTTATGCTGTCACAGGCACCCAACAGTGGTTGCGTTCCTGGGCGTGTCCTGGCCCTTAATTCCAGCAGATGCTGCCCTGCTCCGTGCTTGGCTGCTGCATCCAGGTCCTGCGGGTGGGAAAATGGGGATGGGGGAGGCTGGGACCTGGAGAGAGAAGGGGGTGCTGAGCTCGGGGAACCAGCAGTGAGAGTGGGGCACGGGACGCAGCAGGGAGAGCCTGGGTACCCTCTGCCCAGCTCCCAGCTAGGCCGGCTGTGCCAGGATCCAGCAGCATTTCATACCCCGGTGTCTGGGCTGGCAGTGGGACTCCCGGGACGGCTCTGACTGGACAGACAGGGAAGTTTCCTTAATAACCTGGTTTTAAGGAACACCCAGTGTGGGAGGATGGGGCTGCAATGTCCGTCTCCTCGGACCCTGGCTTTTCTTTAGAGTAGGTGGCTTTGCCACCTGCCTGTGCTTTCCAAAGCCGTGAACTCCGTGTGCAGCATCCGATCCTCCAAGGCAGGTTCCAAGGATTTCAGGCAGGCAAGCGCCGGAACATCTCTGCAGGAGCCATGCGGGCAGAGAGCAGCTCCAGCAGGCTGCTCCTGATAGGGAACGGGTGTTGATTCCTTACAAATCGCTCGCTCCAGGGGTTTTCAGGAGACATGGGCCCCGGTGCCTGTGAAATGGGTGTAAATGTAATGTCTCTACCAAGCTCACGCCCCCCGGGTTGGTTACAGACCTAGCGGAGTTTGATGTACTGAACTTTAGAGGAATGGACCAGCCCAGGCAGCCTGAACTTTCCAGCTTTGCGGGGAAGTGTCCGCACGTGTCCAAGGGGGGACATGGGGTAGGCGGATCAGGAAGGCTACGCCGTCCCGGTCCCTCAGCTGAGAGGGGAAAGGAAGGGGGCAAGACATGGCCGGGAGTTTGGGACCAAAGGAGGCTGCACCTCCTGAACCTCAGGAGAGACCTCATGGGATATGGTCTGATGGACTCTGCCTTTATCCCAGTAAAGCTGCCGACTCCTCCATCTCCTGTATGGACATTGGCCTTCCATAGCGTGATTTTTTGCAAACTCCGGACCTGTCCCCGAGGGAAAACAAAGGAAGAAAACCTCGTGGCCACGTAGCCAAACAGTAATTTGTCTGTTTTGTATCCCCACTATAGATTTGATGAGACAAATGGGAAGTTTTTTAAAGAAAATCCTGGAGCCATCAGAGCAGGATGCATTTGACCACTTGACGTGGATGGAAAAACCTCGTATCAACATCTTCGAGGGCCTGAGCTCAGGTGAGGGCAGTGACGGGCATGAATGATGGGCAGGGTTACAGCAGAGGATCCCCACAGTGTGCGCATTTCCCAAAACTTTGGGACGTTTTCACCGATAATCTTAAATCTCCCCTGGGCTGAAACTCAACCCGTGGCTGTGGAGATGGATTGTGCGGGACCTCAGGGCTCTGCTGAGGGTGAAGGCTCCGTGTTCTGTTTTCCCTTGGTTGTGCTGCCGTGCGTGTCCTCCAGCACTGCAGGAAGCTCTCAGTCCGTCGGGATTTCTGCAACTCCCAGGGGAATCAGGATTTATCTTTGGCAAATGTGAGACGCATTCCCTGAAATATCAGGAAATACTCGGATTTTGTTTCAGGCAGCGCAGGAGAAAAGCGAGCCTTACTTTTAAGTAAGTTAGTAACTAAGTTACTAATTAGTAAGTAACTAAGTTCTTGTAACAGTTTGCTGCCCCAGGTGTAACTTCCCATCCCTGATTGCCGGTAATTGATGTTAATTAGTGACTAATTGCAGCCATTTTGCCTGTCTTGTCTGCTGGGGTGTGTTTGCACCAGATGACACCGAAATTATTTTTTGGGTATTTGGGCGTGGTTCGTGCAGGGCGAACATTGAATTTTGTGTGTGAAATATCCTCTGCAGAGCCACCGGAGCCTGTGAGTGTGCAAGGCTTTCACTTGAGCGTGGGAAGCAAGGGATGAAGTCTGTGGCATAATGAAGTGATTATGGAATCTGTAATTTAATTCTGGATGGTTTGAATTTCCCAGCACATTTTCACCTTCTGGCAGTTCTGCATTTGCTAGTGCATCTCTGCCTTGTGACTCCTTGTGACATCCATCCGGGATGGGGATGTGCCTTGGCCCAGCTCTGTGGGTCAGGTGGAGGAGCCCTTCCAGCAGCCTGCCGGGGTGCAGTCCAGCCCAGACACCCCGAAGTGTGGCACTGGCTCCCCGGGGAGCCCTGGCTTCCCCAGCCCCGGCCATGCCCCGGTGCAAGGGTCGTGTCCCCCCTGCGTGCTGCAGAAACGCTCTGGGTAGTTCTGCTGGGATTTACCTATCAACCTGGAGCTGCTTTCCAGTCCCACTTTATGGGATCCCTCCTGCTCTGTTTTGTCATCTCACTTCATCCCCAGGGATGAGGGGTGCTCCTCAGGAAGCTTCTGTGTGTCCCCCAGCCAGGTGTGCTGTGATCCGTGGCTAGCGGTGCTGGAGCAGACAGAGGGCCCTGCTGTGTGCAGACAGATGGACAGAAGTGTCTGTGTGCACCTGGAGCACTGCCAGGAGAACATGGAAAGCAGATGTTGGACTGGGACCTGTTGGAGAAGCTTCCCCCAGTGCCCCTGTGGTCAGGTCTAGAGTCAGGGGCTCCACAGGGATGGGGTGAGCTTGGTGCAGCCCTGCTGCACAGAAATTCTGCTTGTGCGGCATCTGCAGAGTGCAAGGACGGCCAAAGTCACGTTACACAGGAGCTGAGGCACGACAGGAGATGGAGGTGCTCCCACTGCTCCTCCCTGTTCATAAGGAAGCCTGGAGCTGCTCAGTTACCCGAGTGAGCACTGCAGCAGCTGCGTATGGGTTCTCCTCTCTGCCCTGCTCATTCTTTAGGGGCCAGCATTGGTGATCAGGGCCCTTCACACGGGTTTGGGCCAGAGCCTCACATCCATTTGAACTTCCCAAAGAAAGACCCTGATGGGTCAAATCCCAGCTGGGCTCCACAAACTTCCCTGCCTTCCACAAGCCAAGGAATGGGAATTCTCTCACTTCTCCTTTGTCGTGTCACCTCATGCTTGCTCACTGGGTATGGGGGCTGAGTAGGGGATGTGCCTGGACCATGAAAAAGGATCCTAATTCAAGTTTCTACAGAATTCCTGTTTCTGCCAGTCCTGGCTCCTGCAGCTCAGATGTGGCAGAGGAGCAGTTCCTGCAGCACAGGAGATGTCTGGGGGAGCTGAAAGCCTTTCTGCAGCTTGGGGTTTCTTCACCCTCAACAGCAAAAAAAAATCAGGAATTTTATTCTGTCTTGCCCGTAGGCTCTGCTTGCAAATTTCCAAAGGGGTTTGATGGTTCAGGGCTGGATAGAGCAGACAAAGATTGCTACAGGGAGGAAGGATCAGTTTTGCGGAGCAGGAAATCTTCAGTGGAGTGATTTTGCTCTTGGAGTGAGGAACAGCACTGTTGGGAAATGCACGCTGCAGAGGATGTTCTGAGGGACTTGTGCCTTTCCTGCTCCAGGCCATGTGTGCAGCTGGAGCAGCCCCAGCCCTGGCTGACTTTCAGGGCAGATTAGGGAAACTAATTGGATCCAAATGCCCTGATCTGGCTCCTCTGGTTTATGGTGTATTGAGACCCAATGGGTGATTTGAGGTGTTAAATGCCTCTTGTGTTGGGCTGAGTCCCACAGGTGAGGGCCTGGATGTGGTGATGACTTGGACAGAATTTTTCTCTGGAAAAGAAAACCAGTGCTTTGGAGGCTATTAACCTTTTGCTGAGGAAACTCCAGCCAAGGGTGTGCCATTTTTGGCAAGAAAAATCTCTGGATGCTCTTGGACATAGTGGTCTGTGCTTTCATTGAGGGTGCCTCTGTTTTTAGGATTCAAGCGCTTTATGGAGTGTTAATCCAAGACATCCCTTTCCTACCAGCTCAGGGAAAGGGCAGAGTGGGGAAGGGGGCACTCAGTTTGACTCTTCTTGGCTTTGCAGTCCTGGGAAGATTGTTCTGATTTCCACTTCCATGTCCCATACAATGGAGATAAGGCAGGAGGAAGCAGAGGATGCTGGAAGGCTGAGCTGGGGAGAGGAGCTGAGCTGTTCTCCAGGGAGGAATTCACTGCGAGGTTTTCTTGAGCACAACTCAGGAAAGATGATGCTGCAAGTGATCAGTCCTGTGGTGGGCACTCCTGCTTCTGCGGAGACTGGTGCTCCTGGTGCCCAGGCTCCTTTGGTGTCTCTTGGAATCACATCCAAACCTTCCACACTGGGATGTGTGAGGGATGCAGGAAAGTGCAAGCAAAGCTCTCGGGGATACTAGTAGCAAAGCAGAGTGCAGGTTTCACTGTGGCTGGCAGATCTGAGGGTTTCAATATGCCTTTGGGGTCCTGCTGGCCCCTCTGGTCACCCCTGGAGTGTCCAGTGAGCCCTGCTGAGGGACCAGCCTGTGCACAGCATCTCCTCTGGACAAAAGGGTCACATGAGTGGTGACACAAGTGGTGACACACAAGAGTGCTCCGAGTGTTCCCTTGATAACAAAGCTATTCACAGCTTCAGTTGTCAGAAGTTACTTCCCAGCTCTGGTTCATAGGAGAGAGCTTTGGTCAGGGAAGGGCTGCTCAGGCACAAAGCCCAGCTCCCTGGGACAGTGCTCCTGCTGGGTTTGTGACATTCCCAATGGAACCCAGGCCCGTCTTTTCCTTGGAGATAAATGGGTCCATGGTGTGTGACACCCACCAGGGACGTGCTGCTGAGCAGGACAGTGAAGTCATCCAGGTGCTGTTTCAAGTGACCTCAAATCACTCAGGTCATTCCAGGAGGCTCCCAAAACCCCACAGCCCCCACCAGAATTCAGCAACCACAGCTCCTGGAGGGAATTTCTTCCCTGGATGTGCAAATTTTATTTTTCTCCTCGTGTGCAGCTGCTGCTCCGGCAGCAGCTCTGAAGACCCTGGTGCTGGGGTGCAGGGGGAGGACACAACAGAAAGGAAGGGCTGCTGCAGCTGGACCACTCCAGAAAGTAATTTAATTAAACAATAATTGTGACAACCGCAAGGATAACCCATGTGCAGGACAGGTCTTGCTGCTCGTGTGGCCCGGCCCTGCCTGGGTTATATTTGGTGGCGGGTCCGAGGAGGGTTTCCTTTTCTGCCCTTGTCTTTGTTCTCTTGTTCACTGTGCAGGAATGAGGGGTTGGGGAGCCCATCCTGGGTTTCCTGGGGATGGGCAGGGGGAGGTTCCCTCCCCATGGTAGGTGAATTGTACAAACTGAGATGGATCTGGCTGGACACTGAATGTTCCTGTCTTGCATTTCTGGTGTGGCAGGGAGGTGTCACAGCCCTGCAGCATCTTCCTGCTAAAAACAACTGCTGTCCCAGCCCTGCTCGTGCTGCACGCAGTGTCCAGGACACTTTGTGTCTGAGGGCCCCTCCCGGGAATGTGGCTGGGTCTGGGATGTGTGCTGGGCTGTCCTGGCATGCACCGGAAGGGGACATGGGGGTGACATGACCTTGTCCATCCTCTCCTGCTCCATAAACAGCCCTCAGGATGGAAAAGCTGTGGATGTGACACTTGGGGACAGGGTTTAGTGGTTGCCTTGGCACTGCTGAGGGAATGGATGGACTTGGTGATCTTGGAGGGCTTTTCCAACCTAAACATTCCATGAATCTGTGATTTCAAAAGGTCAGGTTGCTCAGGCAGGGCTGGGGTTTGAAACGCTGAATGAGGCAAAGTGAAAAGCGCGGAGCTGCTTGGAACAGGAAATTCTGTGCCTGAGTGATGCTGCTGGCTCGGAGCTGGGAGATGTTTGGGCTGTGACATCTCCCGTGGGTCTGCAGCTGGAGCGGGGCTCAAGGGGGCCAGTTGGGGAACATGTGAGAGCCCAGCAAGGCCAGAGGCAGTTGGATGAGCAGGAACAGCCAAGCCCTGTGCCTGGAATGCCATGCCTGGGGCACGGTGTCACTTGTCCTGTTGCTTCCCTCAGCCCACGTGCTGATGGGGCTGGCTGGGAATGTTCCTCTGTGCTAATGAGAATTTCATGGCAGAAAGAAAACAAACAGTGCAAGTTTTCCATTTGGAGGGACAGTTTTCACTGAAAAGTGAGATTTTCCGTTCTCTTGCCTGCTCACATTTTTGATGCAAAGTGGATGTTTTCCAGTTTTTCATTTTGTCAAAAAGTCAACAGTTCTGAAAAGCAGATTTATTCCAGCAAAATACTTTCAGGCTGGAGCTTTTTCTTCCCATCTCCTTTTCACCAGCCCAATTCATTTTAGCTGTTGGGGTTGGATGTCTCTACATCTGAGT